CCTCTCACCCCACTCCACACACACACACACTCATCTTTCTCCCTCTCACCCCCACTCCACACACACACACTCATCTTTCTCCCTCTCACCCCCCCCACTCCACACACACACACACACACACACTCATCTTCTCCCTCTCACCCCCCCCACTCCACACACACACACACACACACACACACACACACACACACACACACACACACACACTCATCTCCTCTCACCCCCCACCCACACACACACACACACACACACACACTCATCTTTCTCCCTCCCACCCCACACACACACACACACACACACACACACACACACACACACACACACACACACACACACCATTCTACAAACTACTATCAATAACTTCTAAAACTAGCTATAAACTCCCTCCATAACACCACTAAGCCATCACACCTTAATAACGAGGTGATTAGGCCTCTATGTCTGTTCCTAATCCTTCATCCTAATCTAAATCCTCTGTACTGTTGCTAATCCTCATTCTAATCCGTCACCTTCATCTACAATATAATCGGTAATGATATTGAAGTGAGAAGTGAAGTGACAATGGAAGCAAGAGGTGACTGTTGTACCCTTCTTCTCCCTCTTTCTTCCTCCCCCTTACCTCCCTTTATAACACCCCTTTCAAAATCCTTCAGCGATTTCCCAGCCATCCAAACACCTCATCATGGCCGCTGGAGACAGGTGGATTTTTTTTGACTTTTATTTGACGGATTTAATGACAATATTTTCCCCGGTTAAATAAAAGTGAAATTAAGGGCCGGCGACTGTATGTGAACTTGGGGGAGAGATAATAATACTAAAAACAGGTTCCATTACGTTGATTACATTTAGTTCCCGGTGTTGTAGAGATGATGGGTGGGTAGTGAGAGGGAGGAGGAGCCAGTTGTGTTCCTACATCCTCCTCACCTTCCCTTCCTTCTTTCCTTCCCTCCCTTTTACTACCTCCTCAGTCCTTGGTCCAGGTGTGTTCTCACCCTCCTCCTCACTCCTTCCTTCCTTCCTTCCTTCTTCCTTTCCCTCCCTTACTACCTCCCAGTCCTTGGTCCAGGTGTGTTCCCTACCTCCTCCTCACCCTTCCTTCCTTCCTTCCTTCCTTCTTCCCTTCCCTCCCTTTACTACCTCCCAGTCCTTGGTCCAGTTGTGTTCCCTACCTCCTCCCCTCACTTCTTCCTTCCTTCCTTCCTTCTTCCTTCCCTCCCTTCACTACCTCCCAGTCCTTGGTCCAGGTGTGTGTTTCCACCTCCTCCTCACTCCTTCCTTCCTTCCTTCCTTCCTTCCTTCCCTCCCTTCACTACCTCCCAGTCCTTGGTCCAGGTGTGTTCCCTACCTCCTCCTCCTCACTCCTTCCTTCCTTCCTTCCTTCTTCCTTCCCTCCCTTCACTACCTCCCAGTCCTTGGTCCAGGTGTGTTGCCTTCCCTCACCTGGCTAACCACACCTTCAATGACGGTGTTTACTTCACCATCAGCTCACCCTCGTCTTTTAGTGTCCACCATTAAAACACATCTTTGGGGGAGTCACACAGCCTTCCTTCCCTCCTTCCTTCCTTCCCTCCTTCCATCCCTCCTTCCTTCCTTCCTTCCTACACGCCCAGCACCTTTAAGTAGTGTTTTATGGCGTCCACCGATCCTTAACACACCTGTAGAGTTCCTTCACGCCTTAACACGTGTTACACTTTACAGGAAGATTTTTTCCTTCCATTACAAATATTGATCTTTTAATCTCATTTGTATTTTGCTTTCTTGGAGACACTTAACTGTTGTCTTCTCTCTCTCACTACAACCTAACCTACCACCCACCCTCCCTCCCCTCCCACCTAGCCCCTCCTCAACTCCCTCAAGACCAGCCCTCACAAGACCTTATCTAAAGACCTCAACCCATTCACCCCAAGAGCCACTTTTAAGACCACCACCCCCTACCCACATACACGGCTGGAAAGATCTTCAGTCCACACCCCTGCCATAGCCTGCTCCTACCCTCACCCAACCCTACCTTCTGTACTCTAACCCCACCCTACCCACCTTCTGTACTCTACCCCACCCTACCCCACCCTACCCAACCCTACGCTACTCTACCCCACCCTACCCTACCCCACCCTACCCTACGCTACTCTACCCAACCCTTCCTACCCTGCCCCACCCTACCCTACCCCAAACCTACCCTACCCCTACCCTACCCCACCCTCTACCCCACCCAACCCTACGCTACCCCTACCCCACTCTACACCCCTTCCCCACCCTACCCCACCTAACGCCACCCCTACTCCTACCCCACCCTTCTACCCCACCACCCCACCCTACGCCACCCCCACCCTACCCCTAACCCCCACCCCTTCCCACCCCACCCAACTCCTACCCTACCCCTACCCTACCCTACCCCCACCCTACCACCCCTTCTCTACCCTCAATCTCACCCCACCCCAAACCCTACCCCAACCCCACCCCACCCCCACCCCTACCCCACCCCACCCCCACCCCACCCAACCCCTACCCCACCCAACCCCACTCCAACCCACCCCACCCCACCCCACCCCACCCCTCTCTCACCCCACCCCACCCCCACCCCCACCCAACTCCCCACCCCACCCCACCCGACCCCACCCTACCCCCTTCCCCACCCCACCCCACCCCTTCCCCACCCCCACCCCCACCCCACGCTACCCCAACCCCACCCCACCATTCCCCACCCTACCCAATCCCCACCCCACCCCTACCCTAGTATCCCATCCCTACCCTGCTCTACCCCACCCAACTCTGCCCCACCCTACCCTAACCCCCACCCTACCCCACCCCACCCAACCCTACTCCCCACCCTAACACCCTACACCCTACCCCACCCTACGCCACCCCACCCTACGCTACCCCACCCCACCCTTCTCTCACCCCAACCAACTCTGCCCACCCTACCCCACCCCACCCCCACCCCACCCCACCTTACTCTACCTTTACCCCTACCCTCCTTCTCCACCCCACCCTACCCCCTATGCCACCCCACCCCACCCCACCCCACCACCCCACGCCACCCCACACCCCACCCAACCCCAATCTCACCCCACCCCACCCTACCCCACCCCACCCCACCCTACCCACTCCACTCCCACCCCACCCCACCCCAATCTCTACCCCACCCCCACCCCACCCCACCCCTACCCAACTCCCAGGCTCCCCACCCAACCTGCCCACCCCACCCCACCAACCCTACCCCATCCCACTCCCACCCCACCCCCACCCCTACCCTACCCCACCCCTTACCCTACCCTACTCTACCACCCCACCCTACCCCTACCCAACTCTGCCCCTACCCCACCCCACCCCACCCCACCCTACCCCTTCTACCCTACCCAACCCTACGCTACTCTACCCCACCCTCCCTACTCCTACCCCACTTCTCACTCTTTAATCTCTACCCTCACCCTCTCCCACCCCCACCCTACCTTACCCTACTCTACTCTACCCCTACCCTACCCTAGCCTACACCCCCACTCCCTTCTCTACCCTACCCTACCCACCCTACCCTACCACTCTACATCTACCCCACCCCCACCCCACCCCAACCCAACCCCACCCTACCCTACCCTACTCTACTCTACTCTACCCTACCCTACCCTACCCTACTCCCTACCCTACCCTCCCAACCCCACGCTACCTACTCCCACTCCTACCCTACTCCCTACCCCTACCCCTACCCTACTCCTACTCTACTCCACCCCACCTCTACCCCACTCCTACCCTACTCCCACCCCCCTCCCCTACCCCTACCCTACACTCTACTCTACCCTACGCTACTCTACCCCTACCCTCATTCTCCTACTCCTACCCCCACCCTACTCCTTACTTATACCCCAATCCCCACCCCCACCCCTACCACCAACAGTCATAAAAGATCTCGCGTCTCGTTTCACAAGCCTTTATCAATTATCCAGAGGGACATTTTTCTTCTCCAGTACAGAGGAAGACCCGAGTCATGAGCGCTCACAAAAGTAATGGACGAAGGTAGGAAAAAAAAATCTGAATCCCCACAGTAAAATTTCTTAACTACAAAGACTTTAGAAATGAGTTTGAAATTTGCCCATTAGCTCCTTCACACACGACCAAAAAATATTAACGAAATAGGAAATAGCAAAATAATATCCTGACAAAATATAGTAATTAATTGGGCAAGATGGATATAGTTCCCTGGTACTAAATAATATACTATTTATTATCATGTTTATTTATTGATATTTTTTACGTCTGACTCGAATGCCTTCTTTTGTTGACCTGAAACCTGTTAATAAATTCAGAGATAAGTGATTTAGTTGATAATAAAATGGTCTAATACAGGTAAGTCTAATTATAAGGCTTGGTGGTTCAAAACTCTATAGTGATATTAGCCAGAGACCCTGAAGAGTTATAGAGCTTTATTAAGATAACACTATATTAGGATCATACGTACATAAAAAATAAACACATACATACATACATACACACATACATACATACATATATACATACATACATACATATATTACATACATACATACATATATTACATACATACATACATACATACATATATTACATACATACATACATACATACACAATCCAAAAGGTGGCGGCTGAGTGAGGAAGGGAAGGAGAGAGGGAGATGGAGGGGAGGGAAGGAGAAAGAGGAGGGGGAGGGGGGGGGGGGGGGGAGATGGGAGAGGGAAGGAGAGAGGAGATGGAGGGGAGAAGGAGGAGAGGAGATGGGAGAAGGGAAGGAGAGGGAGATGGAGGGGGAAGGAGGAGAGAGGAGATGGAGGGAGGGAAGGGAAGGAGAGGAGGAGGGAGGGGGGGGGGGTATCATAATATATACAGCTTATATACAGTATACCAACTACTCACACACGCACAAGACCTCCAAACTTCAAGGTGGAGGGGTGCAATGGGAGGGAGGGCGGGAGGAGGTAAGGTGAGGTAAGGTTAGGTTCAAGACGAGAGAGGAGGGGTTAGAGTACTCACGAAACATCACGTGTAGCTCGTAGCAGGAGGAAGACTTCCTTGTGGTGTGGTACTACGCAAGGGGCCCTAAGGTGGAATACGACGCATACTTTTTTCATAAAGCCTGATTTGTTGGTGCTTATTTACACTCCAAAAATAGAGACTCAAGGTGTACTGAGACGGGGTTAAGAAGGGGTGTGTGTGGTGTTGAAGGGGGGGAGGGTAAGAGGTGTGTGTGTGGGTTGGTTTTAGTTTAAGGGGAAGTTAGTTTTGGGAGGATTTAAATGAGAGAGGGAGGTAGTTTGTTTGGCTATGGGTGTTGTTGGTGCAGTACGTATGTTAAGGATACGGCACTGTGACTGGTTGTTGTGGGTTGTGGTGGTAGTGGTGGTGTTTGTGGTGGTGGTGGTGGTGGTGATGGAGGTGGTGGTGATGGTGATATTGTTGTTCTTGGTGGTGGTGGTTGATGTGGTGGTTGATGTGGTGGTGGTGGTTGATGTGGTGGTGGTGGTTGATGTGGTGGTGGTGTTGTTGTTGCTGTGGTAGTGAACGTAGGGCTACCATACTGTACGTGGTGAGGTGGAGAAGGTAAGCAAGCAAGTATCTCTGTGGTGGCTCTTGAGATTCATCACTCTAGAATCCTGTCTTTGGAAACTCAGTGACCAATGGGAGTCTCTTACTTGCTGAGGACTGCTGAGTAACCAGAGGACTCCCCCCAATGACCCAAACTCCCTGACTAATAGAATCTCTCGTTAGTGGACTCCGTTACTAAGAGAGACTGTCCTTGTGGAGGTTTAGTGAACTAGAGAATCTCAAGGCGGAAGATACGCCAGTTACTTTGAGTCATTCTTAGGTTGGGAAGGAGAGTTTGATCACAAGAGACAGCTCATGTTAATACAGTCACTCAGTCGCACCAGAGAAGTGACAATTCCACTTCACAAAACACAAATGGCAATAAATGTTTGAACTGGGGGGAAAAAATATTTGATATATATATATTGTCTCTGATATTATTTTTATTTTATTATTTTTTATTTACGGTAATGCAAAATGTTTTTATCACACTGTTAATGAGAGTTTATTTACAACAGGTAGATGAGGAGTGAAATGAGAGGTGAGCTTATACCTAAAATGCTTGACAGTATATGACAAGTGAAGGTCTATAAAAAGTATATATTGTGAATGGTGGATGTAAGTATTGGGGTACGAATGTGTTGTGTATGTATGTATGTATGTATGTATGTATGTATGTATGTATGTATGTAGTATTGTCTTAATAACCCAACTATTAAAACTTTCTTTTTGTTTAGTTATCTTCCAAGTTTCTTTGCGTGTTAAAGTACTTATTTTCTGTTGCCTTAAGCCTTATATTTTTACCTTTTCCTCGCTTACAGCTTTTATTGGGGTCACTGGCGGTACACTATTGACACCTGGGACTATCTCCAGCTGTCTCCATACTGTGTCTTGTCTGCTTGTTACAGTCATTGGCTCTTACACACACAAACACACTATCTTATCACTGTTAATTATTATTATTATTATTATCCTTGTTGTCCACCACTCTGTTCACTCCCGGAGAAACATTATCACCATTATAAATTCGACTCTCACAGGTGTCGTCACAACTAACACTAGGACCTGTGTTGTGGTTCACTAGGTGTTCCTATGTCCATCGTTAGGTTCCAAAGTTCCACCAGTGATTGATGTCTGTATGTATGTACGTGTGTAATACTTGTTATATTATTAACCCCGTGACTATGAATGGTTCGCTGTCATAAAACATCCATTACTATTGGCATCTTCTCTATCTGAAAAGAAGAAAAAGTAGGATATTGGATCGTGTGAGACAGCTGTTGTGTGTTCAATGTTGTTATTCTCTCTATAAACTAATTGACGTGTCTCTTGTTATCCATACAGTAGCGTCTCAACCAAGTGGGTGAATAATTAGTATTTTTATTATATAATTATTGTTATAGATATATCCTTCTTCAACGATTAATTTAGGTAAGTTTTTTTTTATTATTTGTCAAATGTCGTCGTCTAAAGCCCTCCGAAAGACGATAAACAGCGAACGAATGAACGAATACGACGATCAACCAAACACGTTCTTCAACATACTTCCCTGTCTATTTCCCACATAATTTCATACGCTTTTTTTTTTACTTTCGTTCACGACAGTAATACATATATTTAATTATTATTAAGTTCAGTAATTATATGTTTTGTTCACTATGCTATTACGCCAACACGAGGAGCCGCCGATGTGGTTAGTATCACATGAAGATTGGACCCCCTCACACAGCCTATTGTAACTGGTGATTAATTAACCCAACGCTACCTAGGTTAGGTTAAGGTTGATTTAGTTGGATTAGATTAGGTTTGATTAAGGTGTTGTTCATCATGAAGTGAGATAAGCTGGGGTGCCTAATATTCAGGTGATCCAAAAAAATCATTAAAAGGTCTTGTAAACATTGTTAAGTATTTCTGGTGGATTAGTTAACTGGGCTCTAATCCTTGTGTGCCTCAGTCCTAATCGAACCTAATCTAAATTTTAGGATTCAGGCTCGGATTAGGTAAGGCCTCATCCTAATGATAAGGTTAAGTTGGGGTGTATTCGAGCTGGGGTCTATTAGAACTGGGGACAATTAGGTCTGGGAAAATTATGGCTGGGGAAAACTTTGTCAATATATCGTTTAAAAATTTTCTTACAGCAAATCTGTCATTTTACAACCCCCTCCCCCTCCCCACGCACCCAAAAAAAAACAATCACAGAATACGATTTTGACTTCCAAAGGTTTCGAATCTTGTTTCACACGGCTTCGAAACTAGTGTCAATAGGTTTCGAATCTTGTTTCACACGGCTTCGAAACTAGTGTCAATAGGTTTCAATCATCATCATACATACACGAACTTGCGTCAAAAGGAGGTTTCGTTTATGGTTTCACAAGGTTTCGAATCATCATTCATTCATACACGAATCCTGCGTCAAAAGGAGGTTTCGTTTATGGTTTCTCAAGGTTTCGAATCATCATTCATACATACACGAATCCTGCGTCAAAAGGAGGTTTCGTTTATGGTTTCACAAGGTTTCGAATCATCATTCATACATACACGAATCCTGCGTTAAAGGAGGTTTCGTTTATGGTTTCACAAGGTTTCGAATCATCATTCATACATACACGAATCCTGCGTCAAAAGGAGGTTTCGTTTATGGTTTCACAAGGTTTCGAATTAGACTTCAAGATGTTTCAATGGGTGTTTGTTGACGTCCTGTAGATCAATATTAACAAACAATGGCGTCGGCTCATCTTTTCACTAAAAGCACTGGTCTGGGAACGCCTTACAGCAGAGAGAGAGAGAGAGAGAGGGAGAGAGGGAGAGAGCAAATGGCAAAAAAATAACCACGGTACCAACACAACCACGACACCAACACAACCACGACACCAACACAACCACGGCACCAACACACAACCACGGCACCAACACAACCACGGCACCAACACAACCACGGCACCAACACAACCACGGCACCAACACAACCACGGCACCAACACAACCACGACACCAACACAACACGGCACCAACACAACCACGGCACCAACACAACCACGGCACCAACACAACCACGGCACCAACACAACCACGGCACCAACACAACCACGGCACCAACACAACCACGGCACCAACACAACCACGGCACCAACACAACCACGGCACCAACACAACCACGACACCAACACAACCACGGCAACAACACAACCACGGCACCAACACAACCACGGCACCAACACAACCACGGCACCAACACACCCACGGCACCAACACAACCACGGCACCAACACAACCACGGCACCAACACACCCACGGCACCAACACAACCACGGCACCAACACAACCACGGCACCAACACAACCACGACACCAACACAACCACGGCACCAACACACCCACGGCACCAACACAACCACGGCACCAACACAACCACGGCACCAACACAACCACGGCACCAACACAACCACGGCACCAACACAACCACGGCACCAACACACCCACGGCACCAACACAACCACGACACCAACACAACCACGGCACCAACACAACCACGCACCAACACAACCACGGCACCAACACAACCACGACACCAACACAACCACGGCACCAACACAACCACGGCACCAACACAACCACGGCACCAACACAACCACGGCACCAACACAACACGACAACAACACAACCACGGCACCAACACAACCACGACACCAACACAACCACGGGCACCAACACAACCACGGCACCAACACAACCACGGCACCAACACAACCACGGCACAACACAACCACGGCACCAACACAACCACGGCACCAACACACCCAAAAGCACAGGTATTGAAATAAATTTTTAAACAATTGATGAACGAGCTAAGGAGCCAACGGAGAGAGAGAGAGAGAGAGAGAGAGAGAGAGAGAGAGAGAAAAAATTTAATCCAGTTGATCTAATAAATTAAACATGAATTTATACAAACAATCACTAATTCTTTAATCAATTATTCAATATCAATTTCATCTATTTCAATCTATTAATCTACTCGTTTATTAACGCTATAGTAATCTAACTATCTATCAGTTGAAAATGTTATCTAGCTATCCATCTATCGAACCATCTACCTGTGAGAATATCAATCTATCTACCTATCGATTGACAGCTGATAGATGGATGGACAGACAGACAGACAGACAGACATTCAATCGTATCAATAACACATAAATCCTTCAAGTGTGGGGGGGAGGGAGAAGGTGGGGGGGGAGAAGTGGGGGAGGGAGAAGTGGGGGGGAGGAAGAAGTGTGGGGGAGGGAGAAGTGGGGGGGGAGGGAGAAGGAGGGAGAAGTGTGGGGAGGGAGAATGGGAGGGAGAAGGTGGGGGGAGGAGGAAGGTGGGGAGGGAGAAGGTGGGGGGGGAGGGAGGATGGGGGAGGGAGAAGGTGGGAGGGAGAAGTGTGGGGGGAGGGAGAAGTGTGGGGGAGGGAGAGTGGGGGAGGAGAAGTGTGGGGGGAGGGAGAAGTGTGGGGGAGGGAGAAGGTGGGGGAGGGAGAAGTGTGGGGGAGGGAGAAGTGGGGGAGTTATGTGGGAGAGGGAAGTGGGGGAGATAGAAATGAGAATCTCCTTTCCTCCTCACCCTCCCACATCTCCCTCCTCCTCCTCCCTCCTCTCCCACTCCCTCCCACCCCACTAATCCTTCCTATCCCTCCCCACTCTAACAGCGAGGTGAGAAAGGTGGAAGGTCAATATATTTTTACACCAATGTGCAAGAGTTTCCAAAACGATGTGAGGGGGGTGAGGCGGGGAGAGGAGGCGGGGAGGAGGCGGGGAGAGAGGAGGGGGAGAGAGGAGAAATTTCTATGATGGATGGGAGAAAGTTTTTAGATACAATCAAGACCATTACCCTTTGTAAAACACTCGACA